TGATCAGAACCTCGCCCGACTTTGGCGCAGAGACGGGGACATCTTTGATGGTCCACGGCGCGCCCTTCTTCTCAATCACGACGGCGCGGCAAGAGGAGGGGATGTCAGATGAAGACATGATGTTGTTTGTTGTACGAGTGTGCTGAGATTGAGCAGGTAAAGTGCAGAGATCAAGCTTCCTTAAGCGTGGACGCAAGCGTTTGTAGGTGCAGTAGTCAAGACGGTGTTGATCTGTGATGTCAACGAGCTGAGGTAGGCGCGACCTAGCCCTCTTTATCTCTACCTCCGTCATGCATGTATGCATACATCATCGTTATCACCTATCACCGTTCTGTTTCCCCCGCATCAGCCGACGACTAAACATTCAGATTCGTCCTGGTCGACCAAACAGACTTCCGCGACATCCCATATTACGCCCTGCACGATGATCAAAAGAGCAGCCCAAACTTGACATCATACGCCGTAGTCGTCCGCACCTTCCGAACTACACCATCACCCCACGTATGTCCGCGTTGATTGGCTTGGGCATACTTGCTCCTCGCATACCGATTGGACGGTGGTGCTACGCCCAACAGGCTTTATGCTAACGCCGACGGGGCCAAGAGTGTTGTTTGATTGTGCTATAAACAGCCGTGTGTGTATTCAGCGAGTTGCAGCGGCCAAGTTCCGCGAATGCTAGCCTAGCGCGGAGTTTGCGGTTTTTAGACGCGTTGTAGGAATGCACAATATTGAGAAACATGTAACCAACTTTCGAGAGATGCAAGGCAAAACGTGTTGGGGTATCATTTTCATGCTGTCTAACCTCCAGTCAAGACTTATGGAACGCCCTACCAGGCGTCAAAGTTGCCAAAACCACCTGTCTTAGCTTTCTTCTTGACCGGCGCAACATCCTCCTCCTCATCCACATATCCAACTATCTCATCCTCACCGTGGTTTTGTATCTCCTGTTTCGCAGCTTGGAGATACTTGCCTACGCCGAGACCCTCACCAGTGCCGTTGTCCACAGTGCCATCTGCGCGTATGCGTTTGCCCGTCCATGTTGTCTTGTCATCTGCTGTGCCGCCTTGCCTCTTGATCTCTTCAGCCTCCAGCTCTTTGTTCTCCTTATCTTTGCGCTCCTTCTGCCATTCTTCGAATGGGTCTACGAAGACGACTACGTCTAGAATCTCGATATCGTCGACAGGCTTGTCCTTCTCGCCTACTTCTGCGACCTCCATAGATCGTAGTGTAGTATCCAGACCACCAACTACTCGTGCGAAGATCGTGTGTTTACGGTCGAGATGCGGCACGGCGCGGTACGTGATGAAGAACTGGCTCGTGTTGGTGCCCTTGCCCTTGTTTGCCATGCTGAGTACGCCTCTGGCGTTATGCCTCTCCGGCCCCTCGAACTCATCTTCGAATGGCTTGCCCCATATGCTTTGCCCGCCTCTTCCGGTACCTGTCGGATCTCCACCCTGTATCATGAAGCCCTTGATATTCCTGTGGAAGATGGTGTGGCTGTAGTATCCCTTCTGTGCCAGCTTGACAAAGTTCCACACCGCGCGCGGTGCGTATTCGGGGAGGAGTTCGACGTTGAGGTCGCCGAGTGAGGTGGAGATGCGTGCGTAGCCCTTGTTCTTTATGCGCTTCGGCTTGAGCATGTAGTCTTCGTCGGAGAGGAGGGCGCGTTCGCCGGAGGTGTGCGGTGTGACGCCGGTCGAGGTGAAGGACGCAGCAGCTTTACCGGAGGTATACACCGCGGCATTGTATGCTGGCTTCTTGGGTTCTGAGGATGTCGATGCTGCTGTGCCATTCCTGGGTAGGTTGGCGAGCGCTTTCGATGTGATTCCGCTTTGCTCCTTGATCTTCCTGTTTTCGCGTGCCTTCGCAACTGCCTCCTTCGCCTTGAGGATCTTCGCAGCGTTGCCAAGTGCCTCTTTGTTCACACCGGTCTCCGCCTCTGCCACCACTGTGTCTCCGTCCTTCACATGCTTGTATGAGCTAAAGTCTCTTGACTCGATGCTCTGGGGGTCCTGGAGAGTGATGATATCCTTCCGCGTAAACGGGTCATCGCTGACCAAATCCTGCCAGTTCTTCGCCTTGATGTTCAGCCTCTCAACCGTGTCCCATGCGAAGACGTTGCCGCTCTTCCTTAACGCGACGATGTGTGTGTTATCTGTGAAGACCTTGTATGTGACTGGGTCAACGAATTCGCCGTCCTCGTTCTTGGTGAAGTTGAGCGTAATGAGGTCGGCACGCTTCAATGGCGTTCCGTCGACGGGATTCGTGTCGGGGTGTTTCGATAGCCATGTAAGGATGTGGGTGAGATCGAAGATGGTGCCCGATAATGTGCACACGGGATCTGTGAAGGGCTGCAGCGAGACGGCGCAGTAGTTGAAGGGAAGGCGCTTGAAGGTCGAGGACAGGCCGGCAGCGGAGGCTCGATTTGCGCTGTTTGCGCCGCGCGCGTTGCCGAACGCATCCGAAGATGACCACTCAGAGTGGGTGATGTATAGCTTGTCGGTTCCTTTGCCCATGTCGGATATATGTAGCGGAGGAGGATGTTGTTAGAGGAGCGCTGCGTGAGGCGCAAAATGTCTGTAGAGGTGACGCGCCGGCGATCAACGACCCTAGCACGGCTCCACACTCCAGGATCCACCCTTCCGCAGTGCTCTTACCTCTGAACCACGCGTTTGTAGAAGCAGATTCCCATCATGCCTGGGTATTTACCCAAATACACCAGAATGACGCCCAGATATGAAGGAGAGGGCTATGCCGCGCATCGAGTCTTTCATTGGCTAACACGAAGACGCTCAGCCGTATATAAGCAGGCTGCCGTCTGCTGCCACGGCGTTTCAGCCTTCTCAAGACCTGAACACAACTTATATACACTGCAAACAAAGTTCTTGCTTGTACTTATCATCGTGTTATCTTGGGATAGGATTGTCCTTTCGTAGTAGGATCAGTGTACGTACAAGCAGATACCCTAGGAGTTTACGTGGCTGTTGAAAGGCTCGAGTTCTCTTTCAGACCATGTTAGCCTGCAAAGCACATCAAGACCTACATTACTTACGCATATGCAGTTCCCTCCCCAAACAGGGCAATTCGCGTTAAACCTTGAAAATCTCTCACTACAAGCGATGTCGACAATCCATCAGTCTGCTCCGTTGGACCTTAGCCCTACAATCAACACGCGGCTGCTCAAACTCGAGCTAGACTCTTCAACTATTACGCCCTCGTCCATTATCTCTGTAGGACTCCATGTTAGGTCTCTAGTCGATGCACCTCCCTACACTGCTGTTTCTTACGTATGGGGAGAACCATCGCCCACAAAACAGATCTTGCTCAATGGACAGTGCTTCACTGTACGACAGAATCTTTGGGATCTGCTCAATCAGCTACGAGCTGTGGAATTCGACGGCTACTTCTGGATTGACGCTCTTTCGATTGACCAAACAAGCAACAGCGAGAAAGATCATCAAGTCGCTATCATGGGATCTATATACACCAGAGCAACCAAGACGATCGCTTGGCTTGGTACTGCAAGTCTGGAGTTCGCAGCGCAGTGTCAGGCCTTGAATAAAAAATTTACGCTGTCGGGACTCTCGTACGTGCGAGGACAGCGACCTGCTAACGACTATCTTCACCTGGCGGGCCTCAAATACATAGTAAGCCATCCATACTGGACCCGTACGTGGATTCTCCAAGAATACTTGCTCTCATCGTCTGTCGAATTTTGGTGCGGGAATGAGGTCTTGCCTAATTCGGAGCTAGTGTCTAGGGCGAAAGACTTGTTAGATCTCGACTTCGCGGACCTCTTCGAGACAAGTGCGCAAGAAAGGGCCTTCTATATTATTCAATTTGGGACTAGATCAGATGTCATCACTTCCAGCTTAACCTGGCTGGTGAATGTATCGTCCGAAAGCGCCTGTGTCGATCCACGCGATCGCGTATACGCATTACTCTCACTGATGTCGCCACGGGAACGAGGGCTATGGGCCATCACGCCGGACTACACAGCATCGACTCAAGACCTTTTCGAGCACTTGTGCAGTGTTTTCCAGAACACTGATCTGGATGTTGAAAGATGGGTGTGGAACCTGGAACGATGGAGAGCGTGGCTACGCCGCACATTTCTCCTGGACGCTGTCGACGAAGATGGCCAAGATAAGACATTTAATCCTAGCACCGACGAAATGTGATTTCTGTTTACTAGGGTAATTTACTCAGATTAACGTCGTTGTTACGGTGAATTTGAGTGATCCAGTATACAAAATCACATGTCCCGGAAGTCTGCATTAGGGCCAAGTCTTCGAATCTGTCCAATCGTATGCCTTTGTAGACTTGAATACAGACGTTTCAATCTAGAAGAACATTATATTTACAAGGTACACAAGGAAGCTCAGTGGTCATCTACCAGAGACTGCGAAGCCCGTTGCCCTCTAAATACAAACATTTCCCATTCATCAGTCATTCATCTAGTCACCAAAGTCACTCATGCAAGACCAAGAAGTTTTAAACCAGACTCGCTAACATTCATCTATATACAGACCCAGACGAAACCCCCACGAAAAAAAGAAAAGAGCTGTTCCCATCCAAAAAGACCGTCAAGGAACAAACCCCTTCCCCTTCCGCAGACCCCGTCTCCCATTCCGTCCATCTAATTACAGTTTATATAACCAAACAACTAAAAAAGAAAACAGCTCAAGTAAATGAGTGTATGGTAGGTCAGTTATGTACAGAACTAAAGGAGTGGCACCAAGAACCCCATCATAGAAATGGATTCTTGAAAAGCCGAGCTCACTTTATTCATACTCGTATGTACTTGTAATATCTCTTTCTCTCTCTCTTATTGTTCTTGTGCCCTAAGTGGAATTGCCCAGCAAAACCGCAAAGTTGTTCTTCATCTCTTATTAAATTATATCCAACTCTCCATTTGTCGTGCTGTCCGAGGTTGCTGCTGTCGTCGTTGTATGATTCCAAGGGGCCATGTAGAGAAAGCTTGATGGATGGCGAGAAGCTTACTCGGGCTTTCCGAGGATACCGCGGGCCATGTGGCGCTTGCGGAGGTTGTACTCGACCGCGCGCTTCTTGGCGGCAGTGCTCTGGGTGAAGGCAGCGGAGCCACCGAAGGGACCGGCAAGGGCAGCGTTCTGCATGCGGACGATGCAGACGTTGGTGGCGCCACCGGCGGTACCGGAGCAGGTCATGCCAGCGGGCATCTGGACCTTGACGGGGAAGTCCTTGACGGCGGCGGCGGAGAGACCTCCAATACCGATACCGGGCACGTTCTGCATGACGGTTGCGTCCTGGAAGGCGGCGGGGTCGGTACCAGCGGAGGTGGCGTCGATCTGGGCGGTCAGGGGACCGGCACCGTCCTGGTTGACTTGGTGGAAGGTCATGGTGATGGTGCCGTCGTCGGCAGTGGTGGGCAGACCAGAGGTAGCTCCAGTACCTGCGGCTTTGGCGACACCACCCTCAGTTCCTGTGGACTTGGTGCCGGCAGAGGCAGCACCAGCGCCACCAGCAGCGCCACCACCGGTAAGAGCATCGAGGAAGCCACGCTTGGCACTAGCTGCGGCACCAGCTCCAGCTCCAGCACCTCCGGCACCTCCCATGAACATGGCGATAGCGGCACCAGCGTCAACGGCACCGCCACCCTGGGTGCGTCCAAGAGCAGAGGCCTTGCCACCCATCTCGCGGGTGCGGATGATGGAAGTATCAGCCTCGGAACCGCAGAGAGGAGAGGCGCAGTTGCGAGGAGTACCGTCCTGGACGGAAAGACCAGGCATGGTTACACCATTGGCACCCTGGATCTCAGAAACGACACCGTGGGCCTGGACGGAGGCGGCGATAGCAGCAATGGCAGCGAGAGAGTAACGCATCTTGATGGATATGAAGTTGGTTGATAAAAAGGTTTGAAAAGAGTTGAAGATAGTTGAGAGTATTGAGTGAGAAAGATGTAATGAGTAGTGAATTAAGCAAGCGACCGGCGCAAGAAAGTAATTAGAAGGATGGAAGGAAGGGAAGAAAGCGAGTCTGGTTGGTTTGAATGTTGAGTGATGGTGATATCGAATCTAGGAGGATGAGCAGTCAGGTTTTATACAGCTTTCCGGTGGTGGCTTGTCAGCGGTCCAAAGCTTAGCATAGACACAAGCATTCAGCGGTCTGCGTCTCCGATCCACCCAGGCAAGATGGCGCCCGCGACCCCTTGCTGCCATGGCCAAACACGATGATGGCCGTCGAGGGAGGCTGTGATACCGAGAGCACAGACCCTGACCGGAGAGCTGAGACGATGCTGGTCGAACGATGGTCATGGTTACTCCGCTAAGGCCAATTCCGCTAGGATATCCACTGCGGGACGATCATCTCCAGAAGCTTGGTTTGGGATCTTCCCAAGGCTGCTTCGGAACAATGATGTCGCGTTGTGGGAGTGTGCATTGATGTTTGGCATCTGAGGAAGCATGTCTGCAGATGTGTATCAGCAGCGAGGTTTCGATTCAGGCTCGGCGATCGAAACAGCATCGAGGGAACATCGTTTCGCTATTGCAAGCTCGCTTTCGCATTCCTGTGATATCACCCGGAATTACGCAGACATTCGCAGGTCGTGGTCATACACAAAAGTAAGCAACGAGATGATATCCCTGGCCGTTATCGGCAGCTATCCACCGCTTGTCGTTCATGAACGGTTAGCCAGCAATCCGGCCGAGGTGAAAAGGCGATGGTTGTTTCAGTAGCGGGGTTTGAAACTCTAAAGTTTGGTATCGTTCGAGGGTTAGCGCGTTGCTTCTTGCCTCAGCTGCAGTCCCGGATATTCCCGAAACCTTCGAACCGCCTCAAGCACGACCATGACTTGACTTCGACACTTCCAGGTGACTCCACTGTAGCACTGTAATAGAGAAGAAGGTTGGAATGACAGCTTCGAAAACGCGGAGCGGTGAGATTGTCGAACAACATGCAGGTTCTGGACGCGGATCTTCATGCTATCGGCTTCCAGTGTTTCGCTATGCATGTCGGGCACAGCGAGGCTTGCCACATCTGGACCGTACGGAGCAGTGATCGCAGTAGCTGCATCGTGAGGCAAACGTTACAGTCGCAGAAACGGACCGGCCAACATCGAAACATTGGCATCAACGACACTGGCCGTCTACAAAGGAAAGACCTGAATCAGCGTATCAATACACCCTGCTTCTGTCTAATGATCAATCCTATCGACCTCTAACATCCGCAGCCTCTTTGTACCCGACCTGACTGCCTGGCTTTCTTCGACTTCTTCTTGGTAAGCTTCTAGTTGACCCCAAACTGTCCTTGTGTCCAAGCCTTGAAGTCCCTGACCTCTTTTATCCATATGTATCGAATACATATTTCCTGAAGCTCGTAGAAGAGCGCCCCCGCTTCAACGAAGCCTTTGGTGATGGAGCTCTTGATGAACAGCAGCAGTATCATGACAGCGCGACGTTGCGCATCCTTTCCGTATTCTACGATTGGGGTACCGTTACCGACACCATTGGTGGTTCCGTTTGTGGTTCCATTGGCAGTGCCATTGGTAGTTCCGTTGGTAGTTCCGTTGGTCGTGCCGTTGATCGTGCCGTTTGTCGTTGTCTCCTCCTGCGACGTCGGAGGGGGCGCCTCCATCTTCTCGATAAGCCGCATTGCGTGCTGTATGAAATGGATGGTAACGTCTTGACCATCAATCCCGTTGTCAACGAAGGTGTGGTTGGCGTGTAGTTTGGTGAGAAAGTCTAGGGACGATAGCTCGAGTGGAAGATGCGCGAGTTCTTGCACGGCTTGTTCGGGCTCGAATTTCAGCTTTCGGATTATGGCTTCGTCCCATGACTGTGAGCTGTTAACTTCTTGCGCCTGAGTAACGTGCAGTGATTCCTCTTCTTCCGCTGGTGCTGTGGGCACCTGGGAGGGCTGTGCAGGAGCTCCTACTTTCGGCTCTGGCAGCTCGTCCCAAACCTCAGTCTCAACGAGCATGCACATATACGGTTCCAAATCGAAGATTGCTAGTGGAACACCATCCATCTTAAGGCGGTCCAGTATCAAGTGGGGTGAGGCTTTGGATGATGATGGCTCCCACAGCAGGAGCCCCATGATGTATTCCGCCCTGGTCTTCCGAACTTCCGCAGCAGTGACAGTGTCGTTGCTGGTCGCCTTGTCATCCTGCCCTTCGGTTGCTTCCTTGTTGATCTCCTGGAGGGCCTCTATCCAGTGCGACAAGTAAACCTTGTGCTTCATAGGTGTCTCTTCGGCCAACTTCCACAGTTTGTACTCGCAGTTCAAGATGAGCCTGAGCACTGGCAGAGTCGGCTCAAGTTTGGCGCGTTGGACGTACGCATCGAGCGTGTTTTTGACCCGGATCGATTCAACGAATGAAGTAGGGTCGGTGTTTAGCGATCGCATAATCTTGTCGAGCTTGCAGATCGCGCCATCGTGGTCAAAGGCTGAGCTGCTAAGCGCGTCGATTTCGGCGTCTGTGAGCGTGGCAGTCATGAAGCTCATACTGGGCGGTATTTATATCGCGCCTTGCGCTTCGAACGATAGGAATGCGGTGAGTGATACGGTTTGGAGTGGAGGGAATACATAAGGGTCGAAGTGGGCGCGAGGTGTGACGGTCGTGAGTGCTGGTGCGGAGCGCGTGAACCTTGGAAAGAACGGCGATGCACGTGCCAAGCATAGCATTGTGCCTCTGGTACAGCCGCACATCGGACTGGAGAAGGATAACACACCAACTCTGAGTGGCTGTCATGAGACGCATTTGCTAACCCTGAAATACATTGGTAATCATAAGCTGCCGATCGCATTCGCGACCTTGAGCCCTGACACGATCACCAATGCCTCGAATGTTCCGTGCCTGTTTGTCCTGATTGCTTCCAGCCGTCTTGACAGATCCAAACTTCGCAACATCACACATGGCGTTCATGCTTGCGCATCACAGCAATTGGAAAGGGATGTTCGTAGAATGTTTGATTATATTCTCATTACAGCACGCTCGTAGAAACGCGCCAGGATGCTCGCGAGGAAACCTGAGATTGTCCCAGAGAACCAAGACGCCAAAACCTGAAGCTATTCATGACATTACAGACGGAGCCAAGCCAAGGCCACCTTCACCCGACCGGAAGCTCCGGCATCCCTAAGCTACACCATGCGAAGTGTATCCTGGCATCGGAGATATCTGTGAGTGTCGGGTGTTGGTCAAGCTTTGACAATGGCGGAAAAAGAGGAAGATGGGTATCGTGATGTGACGTTGTTCGTCAAGCCGTTATCGCGGCATCGTGAAAGGTGTTTGCGCGCCCCCGCTAAAACTTGAATATGATGTACAGAGCGTGGATGATACCCTGGTGATGTTGTTAGTGACAGGGTCGTGGGTGATGATGTGTGTACCGGAACTCACCGGAATGTAACCAAGAACGGTCAACAGGATGTTGATGAGGAAATCAGCATTGCATCCGCGCTCGAGGAAGACACCCAGAGGAGGCAGGATGATGGCAAGGAGGATCTTGCAGATGTCGCTGGCGATTGTTAGTGTCTACGTCTCTAGGTAGGCTGATTGCTGCTGGAGCGAACATACCTGGCGGTAAAAGGCATGTTGGAGTGTTGGGTTGTTCTTGCGTGTAATAGTTGGGAGTGCTTGTAGCAGAGTGCGGATTGATGGTGTGATGATTTGACAAACAGCGGGAGTCTTGCTTAGTATTTATGGCAGGTGACGAGGGCAGCTCATGACCACAAGAGTGACGTAGCCGGTGAAATTCAGCAAGGATGGCAGGCGCTGCCGCGTACCCGCACGCGCCACACCTTCCGTTGTGGCGTCATAGGTGTCCGAGTGACCCGACAGCAAAACAAGATCGCGCTCAAACTTCCAAGCAGAGTTTCCACGGCGAGATTGCCTGTCAAGCCCTGCAAGTGACGCATGCCGCGTTCTGAGGCTGGGGAAATTGCGTGCTGCTGCTTGGTCAACCCCGGACTCAGCAGCGGCCGTGTTTCCGAGCCTCATTTGCCAAACGTACATGTCTCTAGACGGTGAGATGGTCCTCTTGGCTGGCAAGGTCTGGATCGCCCACCAGCCACAAGAGCTGCGCAAGCTTCATGGGCTTGTGCCGTCGATCCACCTCACGTCACAGCTACCGCCCGCCATCATGCCGCTAACATGATGTCAAGCCGCCTATGTGGCGTACGCTCCTATTCATAGTTAGTTGTGGCTCAAACCTGGGGGTTAGGCCAAACTACTGGAGCTTTCGTTCCACCTTGGCTGCGCCTGTTGAACCCTCGGTGGATTGGCGTCAAGCGACGCGCCCGCAATGTTCATCGTCGAAGTCTCTAGCAAGGCGTAGCTCAAAGTCCTGCACGGATAGATCGTCGGGCAGCTTGGCATGTGCCTGCGTGGACATGCGTCGTGGAAGATGCCGGTGTATGGCCGGAATCGATCGGAATTGGTTTGCACATCGGTAAAAAGAGAATAGGCACAGGACATGGAAGACCTGCGATCATTTGATCATCGCAAATGGATAATGACTCTCGTTTGAACCGACAACCAAGCTGCCCCGGTACAATGATCACAAAACCATCCCATACAAGGAGAAAATCGAACGGGGACGCTGAAGTCTACGTTCGTGTAAAAACAAAAGTTTGCGAAATCTTAGAGCCATGTAGCCTTCTTAGCTTTGTTTTTCTTCTAGTCGGACTTTGTAGGAGATACATGTCTAGTTCTTCCTTTAACTGGAGTGATGCGATCTGGTGTATCACTTTGCTATAGTTATGCCGCCAGTGTTTTCCGTATAAATAATCCAACTATCTTCACACGTTCTGTTGTCGTACGACAACTCGATTACCCGCGTTCAAAATACCATCTTATTCAGGTTGACAACGCGTTAACAGCGATAAC